ATCATCATCATCATCATCATCATCATCATCATTATTATCATCAGCATCAGCATCCTCCACTGGAAGGGTATTGTAATAACGCTGTGCTTCCAAACTTAGATATTTTGTCGCAAGTTCTAAACAGTTTTCTTTGATTATATTTGGAACTGGGCTCAATCCTAGTGATCTCACTTTAAGCCCTTTGGGATTCATGGAACGGCTTTGCTTTTTTTTCAAAAAGTTTATCTTTAACGGTTCTTGATAGGGATCGATGGAAAATCTAGCAAAACATGCGCCATCTTCGAGGTTTTTGGCAACAAGCCTGCCATTGCTGTCGATCGCTTCGCCAATGCCAAAGTTAAGCCAAGCCAAACGTCTTACCGCAAATTTCTGTCCATGTACGTCCTTTTGCCGGCTTACATACGCATTACGCAAAAACGTTTTAAATGACTTGAGAATGTCCAACGAGACTTCTTGGATCACCAGATTTGTAATATTTTGTTCCTTCAATTGAGCTACCCAATCGGTAGGTGTTTCAATAGTTTCAAAGCGTTTCGTAGCTGCTTCTATAGAGGCAAAACGCCTATCACAAATTGCGTAAGTGTGGCCTTCGAGCAAAAATTTTAAGTCCACTCTAGAAAATCGCTTCGTTTTCACTAGATATTGCAGGTAAAAAAAAAGGTAGTTTTCTTTGAATTGGGCTGGGCAATTGTCCGCCCAAAGGACGAGATGTTTTAGTCCAGCTGCCTGAGTTTTTAGAAAGAAATCTAAGCAGGAAATTACTTCATCAGGTCCCTCTCCTCCAACTGTTGCTGSATATACGTAGGCGTGCAATTTCTTTCGGTTTGCGTGAAAAACTCCAAAAAGCCTCGTTGTCAATCGTCTTTTAAAATAAGCATCTTGGCTTGTTAACTTTGGTAACTGGATAGTTTTGTGAAAATCTAAATGCAAGACCAATGCCTTTTCAACCATCGTAACGAGCTACAAACAGCAGTGACAGGTTTTGTTTTCAAAACTAACGTCTAATGTCTCACGTAACTAAACAAAAGATTGGCGCGCGCGTTTTGCTAGATAACCTAGCTATGCGACATATGGTTCTCAAAGGCTATGCAATATACCTTGATCAATTTCAACTGCGTTTAACATACAGTGAACTAGCTATAACGCGGACTAGAAATTTATGAATAAAGCCGATATCGCTGTTGCTGATTGCTTTTGGTTGTCAGTTTGTGAGTTGTTTGCCTTGGGTGCTGCTGTTGATGTTGATAATGCTGTTAAATTAATTTACTCATGTGCTCTTGTTGAAAACAGCAGGAAAAAACAATAAAAGCACAGCGCTAACCTCAATGATTTGAAGGAATACGCTGTATAGTTCCTGTTGCTTTCAGTTGAATTAAATGTTAGTGAAAATGTTTGTTGCCAAATGCATGTAGAATCGAAATTCAGTTGGCACAGATGCCTTRTATGTTATTGGAAGAAATAGAAGAACAAGTCGAGTTGAGTAACCTGTGAAAACCTCAGGCTTCGAGCTCAAATTGTAAAAGAGTGTTTCAACATYTTATATTTAATCACAGTATATTTCAAGTGGTGGTGAAATTCTGACCATCAAGTGATTTGACTTTTCCAGTAAATGATCAGCTAGAAGCCTGAAATTTTCAGTGGYTACTAAATTCTAAATAATATAGTACTACATGTGACGATTATGGATGACGATACCTATGTTTAACGGCAGCAACAATTACTAAATCAAAATCATGTTGATGCTGCTAGTACATTGGTATCGTAGGCAATAGCGCCATACCTAATTTCGCTTTCTTCTAGATGCTTTTGTAAATGAGTTTTTATTTCTAAAAGTTCCTCTTGCAGCTGTACCTTGGCATTGGAAGAAGCTCCAACTAAGGTCATTTCAAGGACTTGTATCCTCCTGTTAGACATGTCACATTTCTGGCAAGTATCTACTCGTGCTTTTCTGAATGAATACTGATTACTCATGTTTTCCATAAAGATCTTTCGGAATGCAGAGTAGCTTAGTGGTGGGCCTTTGTTCTTTTTCTTGAGGCGGTTGYTTTTAAGATTTGGATACTTTACAATGAAACTTTTCCAAACCCCACGTAAACTGTATTTAGACTCAAAATAAAGTTTTGAGGTGCTTTTTCGTCTGTAGTGGCTTGGTTGCGCATCGTATGTCCGGATAAACTTGATAACTAGTTCCACTACAGACGGTAGCAATTTACGGGCGTTCCWTTTGTGTTTCCCTCTTTTATCTTTTTCTAAAGTAAGTTCGGCATCATTTTGTTTTTTTAAAAGAACTGTAATTTTTTTGTTTGATATACCAAATACCTTTTTGAAGGCTTTCTTACATACCACTCCAAGATTTGGAAGCGTGTATATGATGCGCGATTTGCCACTTAATAAGGTTTGAACTTTAAAGTGACTTGCAATAGTGTAGTTCTGGATGTGGTAATTTTCCCTGTATATATTCAGTCTTTGTACATGRATTTCGTGCTTGGATATTCCTGCTAGGCATGCCTTTCTACAACACTCCATCGTCATTGTTGAGAGATTTTGAAACGGAGCGTTTCTTCTCATTGTGGATATCCGTTTCGGCAGGTACACTTTATTCATCTTGGGTGTTCGTTTACGAGTCCCCCTCTCCACACAGCTACCATAAGGTGCTTGGTTGTTCCTGTGAGACCAAGGATTCTTGGGGTCGTATCTGTAAATGAACGCAGCTGAATTCATCGCACTGAGTAAATTAATTTAACAGAATAACAGCAAACAGCTTCACAGGCAGCAAACCAAGGCAAACAACTGATTCGTATTCGTGCGTATCTGTTGTCATCGTCAGCTACTCCAAAGCCAGATCTCAGGCACGCGCGCTATACTATGCGCGAGCTAGTAGAACGGTCCATTAAAAAGTAGTAAAAAAAAACCCAGTATGAATCATTTGATAATCTCCAATTCTAATAATATATCAGTGGATCAACAGTATACCTGAATAAAATATTCAGGTCCAGATTCCATCGGATCTAGGTGTAGTCATGATAGCGAAAAMATATAGCGCGTAGATCATTCGCAGAGACTTATGGGATAGATTCGTGCAATTAATTAAAAGCACGAGTGGTTTCAATTAATTGCACGAAAAAATTCACCCTTCGTCAGCCAATCAGAATCAAGAATGTTATAATGCAGGTATGATATTAAGAAAAAAGACATCATGGGCGAATCCAGCATTTTATAAGGGGGAAGGGG